AAAAAAAAAAGAAACTACACTAAATTGTCCATACACCAAGTCTTTTCTGAGGCTCATGATATACAAATAGGATGGTGTTTTGTCTCTTTTTGATGCTGGGGGAGTTCTCCATAGATAGATGGTTAGGTGATTCCATCAACAGCTCCAACCTTCATGACCTGCTAGTAGTAGTCTTGACAAAAACTCCAGGCTAAGTTTTTGCTGAAATATTCTTCTTGGAATTACCCAATTGGTCATTTTCTCACCAACATATTTCCAAAGACAATCACCTTTGGTATGGATCACCTATTCTTCTAGATTGGGTAAAACCCATCCTTAGTTATTTTCAGTACAGCATATGGTCCCTCCCAGCACCTGCTTAACTTTGGACTTTATCCATTCTTGCAGTTATGAGATTCATTTTTATCTGCATTAACATCACAGAAACTACATATTCTGTGCAAGACTCTTCTGAGTGACTATTTTCCAGATGAGAGTACAGAAAGTCCAATGGAACTTTCAGTTCTCTCCTGAACATAAGTAATAACAGAGAGTTGCTGGTAGCTTCATGTATTACTGTATGATAACCAATTAGTAACAGTGGAAGATCTTCATCCCACAATTGCTGATGTTCATCCACATATGTGACTAACTGATATAACAGTGTGCTGTTGTATTTCTCCAACATGCCATCAGAAGATGAATAAAGAGCTGTTGTCTTGGTCTTTTTAATCCAAAGGAACTGACACATTTCTGCAAACAAGTATGATTCAAAGTTCCATCCTTGATCTGATTGAAGTTCCATGAGAACACCAAATCTTGATACAAATTTGTTGATGAGTTTCCTCACAGGAGTTTCTGCTTCCTGGTTGGGAACAACATATGCTTTTCACCATTTGGTGAAATAGCCCATCACAAGCATGATATATTTATTTCCACTGTTGATTTTTCGTATGGTACCAAGCACACTGACAGCAACTCTCACTCAGAAAGTGCTCCAACACAATACTGATGTAATTGTCCATACTGTTTCTTTCATGGAACTTTTTGCTCACAGCAGAGTTCACATATTTTATGCCAATACCCTACAGAACCTTGATATCAAACACTGTTGAAACTTTCTCTTACTCTCTCCAGTGGCTTTTTAAAACTCAAGTGTTTAGCCACTGGCAGGTTGTGGAGATGACGAAGTACTCCAGAATGTAGAACAGAGAAGTCCAAGCACAAAGCATTTTTAATGTTTTAGAAAATTATGACAGCTGGAGCACATTTCAAGAAATTCTCTTATCACAGGCAGGTTCTTTAGTGATGGTCATTTCTGGAGGGAATCAATCTTCTTCCATGGATCTGTAGACACTCCTTCTGTGCTGACTACATGTCCCAGAAAACTGTTATTATCTAAGGGTTTACATCAGACTTCCTACACAGTTCCTCAGTGGCAACTACTTTCAATCTTAATTGATGCTAAAGTACTATCTGCACAGCATCATATCTTGCAATGTCCATTCCAGTTTTGACTTGAATTTTATGGTTTGTTGTGTTAATAGCTCTAATAATATATTTATTCTTTAGATCCATGAAAGTTCTATCAGCCTATAATCCATCAGGACATGCTGGAATGCTTGGTTCTATTATGGCCCAGTAACTTTATTTTCAACAAGTTCTGGTATTAGTACTTCACTTCTAAGTGGTACAATGGCTGCTCTCACCAAGATCTGATGTGGTAATTGCCATGTAGTGCACAGGAATGTCCTGGTCATTGATTGTGATTGATAACATGAAGTAAGTTTTCAATGTGAAATCTTCCTTGATGTCAATTATCCAAACATCATAAGGTGTAGAATAGTTTTAAACAACAAGGGTAACTTCTAATTTTTCTCTGAAGAAAGTTCCCACCTTTCATTAGAAAATCAGGTCAAACTATTGTAGCTTTTGAACCAGTATCAATCAACATACTGCAAGACCTCCCATCAATAAACCTGTGGATTGATTTTTTAAACAATGAACTTTTTACTTTATTTGAGGGGGATGAATATTCTCATTTGAACTTCACCCCATTAAGTCCAGCTAATTCCTGTTTCTCAATGCCTGGTTAGCTCTTTTCAATTTAACTGGGCTTGAAGACTCATTCTTGGGGTATCGTTTTCTTGGTGTCTTAGTAGCTGTTGATAAATAAATCACATGCCAACAACTCTACCATTTAACAAAAAGCATACGAGTAAGATAACTGGGCAAGCCTTTGCAAATATTCTGAAACTTTGGCTAAGGTCTCTTCTTTTCTCTATACCCTGAGACACTCCAAACATAATAGATAAGGCAGCTACCAATGCTTGATAGTTTTAATAGTTCCCAGTTGGAAGGTTAATTAATGCTGCCAAAGTTGGTTCTTTTAAACAAGCAGCACTTTGGAAATGATTTCAAATTGAGTTTCATATAAATCTAATGGTCAATGTTGAACTGGCCAGGTAAATTTTGTAACTTAATTTGATAGTGTGGAGAGATCGCTGGTTATGATAAGGGTTGTGTCGTGCTCGTATTGGTGGAGAGCTGCAGCATAATTACTTACATGTGTATAAGCAGAAGTGGGAGGTGGAAGGCTAGTGGCAAATGTTGAAAATTTGCACTGATAAAGAGTAGTACTGATCAAGGAAAACTATTTTGTGAGCAGAAGTAAAATTTCAGAAACTCTTTTTAAAATGAAAATGAACGAAACAGGAAGACATTATATATATACTTAGTAGAAACATCAACTTGAATAAAAAGACTAATGTGTTACCAAAATGTGTGGCAAAAAATGTTAAGTGAATTATACTCATTAATGATTATCTACCTACCAATCTACTTATCTATGCATATATATATATATATATATATATATATATATAT